AATGAAATTATTTATAAAAATTAATATTAAATATATTAAGTTCCTATTATCTATCTTGCAGATATATATGTAGCCAGTGAAAGTATAACCTGAACTTAAATTAACAAGAGCTTTCTTTGAAAGGATCATTGTAAGAGTGTGGAAGTGAACTGTTACTCCAAGGGGAGGGGAATTATCACAGTGGGAAGATTATGTTCACCATGAGAGCTGTAAATGACACCTTGGAGGTCAAGCAGAAAGGGGCTTTTCTCTTGTTAGAAACAAATGTGGGAAAGGGAGATGACGAGGGGTTCCAGGGTGGGATGGTGATAGAAAATCTTATACCCTGAGCTTTGCTTGCTTTTTGGGGGGGCTTCAGAGGGCAGGGAGATGGGAGTTGGGCATTTAGGGAAGGCTTCTCTATTGGTCAGGGTGAAGATAGATCAGACTTCAATAACCTGGGGAAGGGATAGAAGCTGAACTGAGGTTTACTCAAGTCAGGGTATGAAGATATATCTGATTAATACTGGAGATAAACATTTTATCTAATCTTTGATGAGGCAAAGCATGGGGATTTGGAGAATCTGTGTCTGGCCTTGAAGGAGGCTATTTCCAGGAACACAGAAGGACAGGTAGATTTTTTAATCATCACTGGTTTTTCAGGAGCCTAGGGCTCAGATAAAATTCAGTATTGTCACAGTGCTTAGCACTTTATCTTATGTTTTAAACTTCATAATAATTATGAAATCTAATACTTCTTACAAGACATACTATAGTAAATATGGTGAAATTGAGGCCGGGAAGAGCTAAGGAATAACTGTAATCATAGTGCCTGGGAGAGGAGCTTGCCACAGCGATGCTTCTTCAGAAGTGTAAGTCAATGGAACCTCAGGAGGAGTTGTAGGACTAATGGCAAGCAAGAGAACTGTGCTGCTTTTTTTAATTGCATTCATCACATCTTCTTAGACCATCTATTACTGAGGTCTTTTTATGTTGGTAGTACTGACTGGGGCTTGCTGTAGGAACATTTTTGTCTTAACTAAATTTGGCTATATTGTGGAATCCATAGAGGAATTGAACTTATAGACTGAAGAGAAGCACAATAGCAAGGGTTTGAAGCCCAAGAAGTACAAGTTACCCAGATCTGTGGCTGTTCTCTCTAGCAGTGTTTCTTAACAGGATCACAATTGACATTTTACACAGGATACTTCTTCCCTGTGAAGGGTGCATCTACTTCTGATGGGTGACAAACTAGGCCTTTGCCCACTAAATCCCAGTAGTGACCCTCTTCATTGTGACAACCAAACAGACTTGTTAACTATTTCCAGATACCCCTAGGGAGGTGATGCAATCTGCGTTTTGAGACCCTGGCCAAGCAACAAGCATGTTGTCTCAGCTCTGAGGACATTCTGTATCTACACAATTAGATCTAAACTTCAAATTCTTATGACTTTGAGTCAAAGGTCTGACCAACCTGGGTGGCCTGGGCCTGGTCTTGTCTGTTCAGTGTGGTGACTTCCTTGGTAGGTTTGTGGATGTAGCTTTGTCAGTTGCAGTAAAAGGTAGGTATTGTTCACATAAAATTATATATGTCCACAGCAGTTAAATTAACCAACTTATTGCTTACTAATTTGGCATAGATGTATGAACTGTTTTGATGGATGGCTTGTTCTGACAGATGATTGTTTTTTCTTACATATTTTCTGATTCATTTCATATAACAGGGACAGGAATTTGGTGGGGTAGTGAAGATGCCATTTGGGGGGACTTCCACATTCCTAATGGGAGTCCTGGCTCTACTTCTGATTCCAACTTCCCAGTATTGTGCAGCCTGGGAGACAGCAGGATGACTCAGGTGCTTGACCCTGCTCCTCACGTGGAGTGGTGTTTGTAGTTCCTGACTTTGACCTAGCTTAGTCCTGGTTGTCATGAGCATTTAGGGAGTGAACCAACATATAGAAGGTTATCTCTGTCTCCGTCTCTGTCTCTGTCTCTGTCTCCGTCTATTTCTATCTCTGCCTTTAAAATTAAATGAAAATAATTCATGCATTTCCACATGCATATCCACATAGGAAGAATGAGACTCATGAGTGTTAATTTAACTAGGGAGCTGTAACTAATACATAGTATATAGTGGAATGGAGTTTAGAAGAACAAAGAGTATTAAATCACATCATTCTGTGGGCTTCTGTTTCTTTTGTATAAAATTAAGCATTTGGATTGGATAACTTCTAAAGACTCTTAATTTTTATCAACTGGGAAATATTTGAATGTTTAATATATTATGTAAGTGTGGTTATTGGACTACAGATACTTTTACTCCATCTTTGAAGCCCATTAAAATGAATGCAAGTGAAGGTGAAATGAATGTGAGGATGAGCCTGTAATAGGCAAATGGTGTTAGTAAAATTTCAGTTGTTGTAGAATAAGTGGATAGATGGTAATGGCTCAGGAATAGAGAAAGCAAAGTCTGAGCCTAGAGAGCAAGAGAGACTCAAACAGAAATGTGATCATTAGTATTGGGAAATCTTGAAAAAACCCAGAAATTGTAGATACTAACACTATGAGGGTAGGTTTATGGAGCAGAACTGAAGAGAGCCTTGGCTGAAAGTTACATGTGAAATTATTAGAATACTAGACGTTATTCACATAGAGAAAGTGCGAAGCAAAAATAACATTAGGGGTTGGGTGGGTCAGGACACAGTTATTTTTTATACCCTACAGTAGAATTTAACCTTTTAAATTCCATTAACTATACCTTTAATACTAAAATTTTTTACCTAAAGTTGAATTTTTTGGAAAGATTTACTTATTTATTTCAGACAAGATCGGGTACATTCAAGGTGGTATGGCCATAGCCAGATTTATTTATTTATTTCAAAGAGTTACAGGGGGTAGAGATAGATCATCCATTCTCTGGCTTACTCCCCAGATGCTCACAATAGCTGGAGATGAGCCAGGCTGAACAAAGCCAGGGGACCAAGAACTTGGGCCATCTTCCCCTGCTTTTCCCAGGCCATTAGCAGAGAGCTGGATTGGAAGTGGAGCAGCCAGTACTCAAACCGGTGCCCATATGGGATGCCAGTGTTGTAGGCAGTGACTTTACCTGCTGTACCATAATGGTGGCCCCCACTGAAGTTGAATTTAAAACAACAAATCATTGCATGTGGAGATTAAAAATGTATATTTGAGGGGCTGACTTTGTGGCGCAGCAGGTAAAGCCACTGCTTGCAATGCTCTCATCCCATAGAGGCACCAGTTCGTGTCCTGGCTGTTCTGCTGATCCAGCTCCCTGATCTTGGCCTGGGAAAAGTGGCACAAGATAGCCAGGGTGCTTGGGCCCCTGCCACCCATGTGGGAGATGCTGATGAAGCTCCTGGCTCCTGGCTTTGGCCTGGCCCAGTTCTGGCCATGTAGCCACCTGGTGAGTGGTTCAGCAGATGGAAGGTCTCCCTTTCGCTCTTTCTCTGTTAACTATGACTTTCAAATAAATACATAAAATCTTTTTTTTAAAGTATATTTTAGTTTTGATTGAAGAAAAATAAAATTAAGAGTGGACAAGGAAAGAATATCATTCAGATATTTTTTTTTTTTTTTTTTTTGACAGGCAGAGTGGACAGTGAGAGAGAGAGACAGAGAGAGAAAGGTCTTCCTTTGCCGTTGGTTCACCCTCCAATGGCCGCCGCTGCAGCCGGCGCACCGCGCTGATCCTGGCAGGAGCCAGGAGCCAGGTGCTTTTCCTGGTCTCCCATGGGGTGCAGGGCCCAAGCACCTGGGCCATCCTCCACTGCACTCCCTGGCCATAGCAGAGAGCTGGCCTGGAAGAGGGGCAACCGGGACAGAATCCGGCGCCCCAACCGGGACTAGAACCCGGTGTGCCGGCGCCGCAAGGTGGAGGATTAGCCTATTGAGCCACGGCGCCGGCTTCAGATATTTTAAAGTGCTATTTATTTCAGCAAAATTACTTATTCAACAAAAAATAATACTTATTCAAAAATACTTATTCAACTATAACAATGTCATAGTTAGATAAATTGAGGTAAAATTTTCTCCTAAAAACAGGAAGATCACAGTAGTGGCATTGATTATGGAAGAAGTAGCAACTCTATGAGTTTGTTATCAAAAGTCTTGTCGAAGAGAGCAGCTTCTTTCTGGTAAACAGGGCTGATTTTTCTCTTTGGGAGCCAGAAATCTTCATAGTTTACCTTAATTACAGTAAGGTTTTTAAAAATATGAAATTCCTAATAACATATCATTTATTATGCATCGTTGTTCTAAACGATTTATTTTGTTGACCCATCTCAGAACAGATCTGTGAAAGTAGTCACTATTGTCGTTGCATTTTCACAAATGAGGAAACTGAGATAGCATTGCCTCTGATTTCTCATCTGGTAAATGCAAAAGCCAGTTTTTCAGTGGCAGTCTAACCTTAGAGGCCTTAATCTTGCTTGATAAATAAGGGAGCTAGGCATGTGTGTTACACTATATTGCCCACATTCCCATAACTATTTGGGAAAGGAAAAATGGATTTTGTTGTTAAGCTCTGTCAGTCACTGGTTGCTTAGAAACTCATGTAGGCTAGTCCATTCATTGGTTGAAGAAGCAAGTCAAAGTGCTAACCAAGTAGGAGAACCTGGGTATTCCATAATAATCAGTCTGTACATATTAACTTTCTTTCTCACCTGTATTCTACTCCTAACATTGGTCACAGTCCTTCTTTAATGTGTATTGAAAGTGTCAGGATCACAACCTAGGAATTCTGGGAAATTAACTCCATTCACAATTTTTAAATACAGACATTATTGAATTGATTGGTAGAAAGTCTATTGTTTAAAAAAACAAAATACAACTTTTAGCTCCATTTCTTATGGCTTGTAGAAAATATCTGTTATAAATGTAGCAGAAATTTAACTATTTGTCATTAATGGTGTATAGCATACTGTAGTGTTTCCAGTTGTTCATGATTGATAACTTTCAGATTTGAATGTTACAAATTTGGTCGGTTGATTTGTTTTTCCTAGTTCAACTTTGTGGGGAAACTTTTGGGTCCACGTGGCAATTCTCTGAAGCGTTTGCAAGAAGAAACCTTGACAAAAATGTCCATCCTTGGAAAAGGTTCCATGAGAGACAAAACAAAGGTAATATTCCTTATAGACATGGCTACTTTTTTTGATGTACATTTAGGATATCTATTTATTAATCCATAGCATATAAGCTAACTAGCCCCTCAAATGCAATTACATGAAAATATATGTAAGGATATATTTGTGATTCTGTTTAGAAAATTGAGTCACTCTAATTTCAGAATATATAGTCTTAATCTGTACCAATTATATTTACAAATAAAACAGTAATGCTTATATTTTTGACTCTAGTAGTAATGCATCAGCATTTAGGAAGTAGGGTGATATTAAAATCATCATGAGGAGAAATAAAAGTCACGAGTATTTGTACCATCACAGAGTATTTGTACCATCACAGTTTGCATTTTAGATTAGTTCTTTCGAGTCATGTTTTCTATGCATTTTTCAAATAGTTGAGTTTTTAATAAATGCATTTTATTTCTAGTTTTTGACTTTTAATACTGTATGCCTTTAACCAAATTAAAATCGATTATAAATGTTTTAATAATTTCTTTTCTGACTTAGTGTTTTTCTTAGATATATTCACATTGATTGTCTCATTTTTAAACAAGCTAATAATTAATTAATTAATTATTAATCATTTTCTCAAATATGCTAATCCTGAAATAAATATTCACAGGACATGTGTGTCAAGTTATTCTCTATTCTCACTTGTTATCTCATTGTTAAAAGATTTATTACTGAGAAGTAAATCCACACTGTTACTGAGTTTTCATGAAATGTTGAACAACATTAGTTACAGTTGAGAGAGTTAAGTCAAAAGCAGGCCAGGCCTCTTTACAAAGAAAATTCCATCTATATTATAGTTTTGTAATAAAAGCCACCATTTGTCTATTGAATTCCACTGTGAGACAAGAACTGTGAGATATTTTGCATATATTATTCTATGTCTTCTTTGGAAAAATGATGGATTTTACATGTGAGAAAAACTGAGATTCAGAGAATTGAGTATATTATCTGGGTTATTCAGGGAAATTATTTTATTGTTTGATACACAGTTAAGAAAACCATGATTCTCTGCCACCAACACCCATGTGGTTTTCATTACAACTGTGGAAATATAGCATGCATCAGTCTCATGTGGAATAATACTTAAAAATAGATTTTTACACCTGAACTTATTTTGGATAGAACCACAAAATAAATTTTTGGTAGATGCTTGAAATGATTGTGATGCATAGCCAGGTTATGTTTACTTCTGACTGTGTACTACTGCTTCAAATGATGGCACTTGATTCCTTTACTCATTTAATATTGCAGAAGAAAATGGAAGCATATATAAGTCAGTTGATTAGAAGTGTGTATCTTGCATGGAATTATTCCACTTTTGCTGCTATCTTAATCCAGTTTTAATTTTAAGGCCATATGGTAGTAGACTTCATGATGTGAGCAGTGAAACCCAAGGATAGGAACCCATTTACTTACTTATTTTGTTTGTTATTCAGGGAGTTCCTTGGTCAGAAGACTGTTTTGTGGCGTAGAGTACTGGTGATCAGGGCATTCATGAGCAATTCTCAAGTGGAAGGGAAGCGAGGCAGGCAGATCTATCTAGGTTATATGTCCAGGTGATAACAGATGCCCGGCTATCCATAAAAGGGCTCCGTGGTCCTTCCAAGTTGTATTGTCATATCAAGGGCTTGTGGTTGTTTTCTGTTGTTGGCATACCAGGCACTCAGCAGAATTAGTAGCTAGACATCTTTTGTAGGGGAATCTGTGTTGTGCAGTATCATGTAGCTTCTGTCCTTCTTTCCATGATCATTTTGTTTATGAGCGCCTTGAGTAGCACTGAACTGGCTGGGGAGTGAGATACCCTAACACTAGCAACAATGGGTTTCTACCTGATCATTGAGGACCTACTCCACATTTGCTTGGGTCACCCTGGTTTTACACACTTGGGCCTCTTTCTGAACCAGTTATCACTAACTCAGTAATCCTTTCATTTCTATGTTTTCTTCCCATTTGGTACAGTAAATCACTGTGGAGATTTTGTAAGTAGCTGATGATATATGTTCCATCAAGCCACCCAGGAACAGGACGAATAGCATTCAGTGTGAATTTACAATCTGATGAACTCACTATCAGTGGATGAGGACCAATATCTTTTTACCCCATAAGCCACACTCTGATTGGTGGCCCTCCATGGATTGGCATTAGGTCAGAGTTAATTCTTTTACAGGTTAAATATCCTTAATCTGGAAATCTGCAAGTGCTTCTAAAATGGAATTTTTTCAAAGATATATTGTGTATTTACTTATTTATTTATTTGATAGAAAAAGGAAAGGATCTTCCATCAGATAGTACACTCCCAAAATTCTCGCACCAGCCTGGGCTAGGTAAGACTAAGTCAGGAACCCAGAATTACATCTGGCTCTTCTATCATCTGTTGCCTCCCAGGCACATTAGCAGAAAGCTGGATTAGAAGGGGAATAACTAAACTGGCATTCCCATATTGGAGTCAGTATCTGAAGGAGTAGCTTTACCTCCTGAGCCACAATGCCCACCATCTTAAAATTTGAAACTTTCTGAGCCCCGATTCAATGCCAGAAATGCAATATTCTGTACTTGGCCTTATGGGGTGGGTCTCAGTCACAACACAGGCACACTGAAAACATTAAAGCCTTTAGACTGTATGTATAAGGTATATATGAAACATGCATGAATTTCTATTCCAAGTTGGGTCCCATCACCAAGATAGGTCATTATGTATAAAGAGATATACTAAAATGTGAAAAATTCTGAAATTCAAAATATTTCTGTTCACAAGATTTTGGATAAGGGATATTCAACCTGTAACTGTCTGTATAGGTGTTTAGCCTCATTGAAAGTCACTCTCATAAAAGGTGCCATATGTTTCTTGAGAAGACTCGGAGGTAGTGTCATACAGTGGTAAATGTTACAGGTTAGGTATGCATGCTGCCTTCTTCCCTAGATTCAGTTTGCTTCTCTTATTCTTTGTATCCCTGAAACAAACAGATGTCTGACATAAGGAAGAGGAGTTAGAAAGTATGAAGGTGTCTTCTCCTTTCAAAGAATTGTCTCTGCTGTTCAAGCAACATAGGAAAAGCATCACCATATGGTACAGGCTTCTGCCAGTGTGGAAGACTCCATCGGGTTTCCACTTTTGGATGATCAGAGTTATTTGAATCATCCCAAATATTACCAGTACAGTCCTCTGGTTTCTTTGTTAGCTAGACATTACTCTACAACTCAAATAAGAGAGAGTTTGGATATTCAGCAGTACACACATTTTAACTCTGCATCTGTCTTTTGGTTCCATCAGCCTGTGTTTACTACAGTAGAAGCTTCTAGGATACTTCTGGCTCTTTGTGCCTTGAACTGATAACTTAAAACCATGAGTCTGTCATTTCATTCTTTAAACTCTTGATTACCATAAGAAACAGCCCATTTCACTCCAGTCCACTAGTTGTGTTGTCTTCTTGTCCCCGGAACTGTGCTGTTGCCTCTACCACTGGAAGCCTCTCACTGAAGTTGACCACAGGTGATGATTGAAGTAACAACTTTGCTACTTAGGTAGATATTACCGATGACTGTATTGTCATCATATCTTCATTACATGAACTCTAAAGTATTAACTTCTGTTGATTGTTTTCACAAATTCTCAGTTAATATGTTTATGTTTAGCCATTACTTACTATTAAAATCTCATTCTAAAGAGATCTCATTCTTAGGTTCTCGGTGTGTTTACTATTTAATGTGAACTCAGTTCACTTTCTTCTAGTTGCTACATTGATGAAATTAGTGGAATCATGACGTGCATCAGCTACATATACAGCATAATAATCATGATACTTCTGTGGTCTATTAAACCATCAACAACTGGAGAGGTTTAAGGAAGGGAGTCAGGAAGAGGTGAAGGAGCAGGCAATATTGAGTCCGTGATCCTTATGGGCAGTGTCCTGAGTGGAGACTTTATCCTAGTATCAATGGGAAGCCTTTGGAGTATTTGTAAATACCTACAGTGGAAAGATCCTATTTACCATTTACTTCTTCCTCAGGGTGATATATACTGTTCAGTAAACAGATAAGCTTTGGGTAGTTTTTGTTGTCTGTCTTCTTTCATAATGTCAGATTTTTAAATATGATTTTTTTCTTTCTCCAGGAAGAAGAGTTGAGGAAAAGTGGAGAAGCAAAGTACTTCCACCTCAATGATGATCTCCATGTGCTCATTGAAGTGTTTGCCCCACCAGCGGAAGCTTATGCCCGCATGGGACATGCTTTGGAAGAAATCAAAAAGTTCCTCATCCCTGTTAGTCCTATATTTATTCATAGCTCACTTGACCTTTAAGATACTTATTTTGCTTTAGGCTTTGACAATAATTGTAATTTGCATAGATCTTTATTTGTAGTAGACGTTACAGCATCCCTGTAAATTATTTGACATTATTCCTTTTTCTTATATGAGAGGGTGGAGTTTGGAGAGATTAAATACTGCTACGAAATTTACATGGCTGAGACATTTGCAGCAGCACAATCTGTTATTCATATTTTTGAACTCCAAGTTGTACACTTTTATGTGAGACTGAAAACACGTCCAAAACTGATTGATGTCCAACATAAACACATCATTGCCTTCTGCAGTCAAGCCCTGTGTGTGGTGTTGACCACACAAACAGGAAAAATTAATACCTAACATCGAGGAATATATAGTTTAGGGGAAAAGAAACATCAACAGATTACTTAGTGCAGCATGGTAAATATAATGACAAACATAACCATAATGAGCATGGGTAGGAGAGGGCACTATTAAAATTCTAGCCAGTTTCTGCCAGGGTCATTATGTGTGTGTGGGGTTTTTTTGTGTTTGTTTGTTTTTTTAAACAGGCAGAGTGGACAGTGAGAGAGACAGAGAGAAAGGTCTTCCTTTGCCGTTGGTTCACCCTCCAATGGCCGCTGCAGCCAGCGTGCTGCAGCCGGCGCACCGTGCTAATCCGATGGCAGGAGCCAGATGCTTCTCCTGGTCTCCCATGGGGTGCAGGGCCCAAGCACTTGGGCCATCCTCCACTGCACTCCCTGGCCACAGCAGAGAGCAGGTCTAGAAGAGGAGCAACTGGGACAGAATCCGGCACCCTGACCGGGACTAGAACCCTGAGTGCCGGCTCCGCAAGGCGGAGGATTCGCCTAGGGCGCCGGCCCCCTTCTTTACTTTTGTGTTTCTTGATTATCAGAATTGTCTTTGTTGTTTCTGGAAAAATTCTGCTTTCAGTGCAGTTCCTAGTATGTTAAAGGCATACAGTACCTAGATTAATGAAAATGATTTTCAGGTAATGGTTAAAGGGTAGTTAATGGTTAAAGGTTAGTGAATTAGCCTAGTGAGCCGCAGCGCCGGCTCATTATGTGTTTTTAACAATTCATAATCTGTTTTAACACTTTTGAACACTTTGTAAAATATGTATTTATTTGAAAAGTAGAATTATGGGGCAGGTGGAAGGAAGGAGTGATGGGGAGAGAGAGACAAATAGATTTTCCATCTGTTGGTTCATTTCCCCAAAAAGCCCCAAGGGCCAGAGCTTAGCCAGATAAAAGCCAGGAGCCTCAATTTCCATCCAGATCTTTCATGTAGATAGTAGACTTCCCAGGACTTGGGCCATCTTCTATTGCTTTCCTGAGTGCATTAGCATGGAGCTGGATTGGAAATAGAGCAGCTAGAACTGGAAGCAGTGCTCATTTGGGATGTTGGCATTTCAGGTGCAGCTTAAATGACTGTGTCACAATGCTGTGCCACAGTGCCTCCCCCAGACCTGTAAATACTGCTAGCAATGTGGTATTTTAAAGAAAATATACCTCTTATTACCTAAGTTTATTGTAGTCTTTTATGTGACTTATATGCTCTTATTAAAAATATATAATTATTTTATTTATAAGTAAAGCCTTGACACTGGCTCTGTGGCTAGCTCATTCTAGAGAAGCTGGCACGTCTGCCCTACAGGCGTCTGGGTGAGACAGTGTCTTCTGTGATCCCAGGAGTGGCTAGTAGATTGACTTTCATGCAGAGCACATGTATTATGGTCATATTGTCTGTCAAGAAGACAGCTAAAGTACTTAAAGAGAAAGGATATTTTTCTATCACATTTGCCTTAAAAGCCTTGATGTGGAACAAATTAAAAACACATTTTCTGCCCTTATAGAGATCTTAGTTTGATAGAAAAGGCTAATATGAATCATATATTTATAGAAACTACTGTAAAGTTGAAACTATGGCAAGACCACCTAAAGAGAGACTGTGTCTTAGTGGGCATGCAGTTTGGACCAGACAGTGCAGACGTAGTCAAAGATGACAAATTCTGTTTTTCACAAATGTCTACACTGTACCTTCCATCCCATGACTTTGAGAGTTGCCCATCAAGAGGCACAGTTTGATTTTCCTCAACCTCAGTCTGAGATGGCCAGGAGAACTCTGCCCCACCAGGGTCACAAAGTCTTTCTGCTGCTTTCTTATAAATCTTGTATAGTTTTCTTTCAGCCAAATCTGTAATCAGGTTTGATTTTTTTTTTATGCATGGTGAGTTTAGGATCTAAATTTTCTTTATAAATATCCAGTTTTCCTCACATCATAGATAGAAAAGATAATCCTTTTCCCTGTTGAAGTAGCTGAACACAGACGTAAGGGTTTAATTTCTGCATTCACAATTCTGTGCCAGTAATTTATATGCTTATGTTAGCTAGTAGCATACTTTTTTTTTTTCTTTTTTTGACAGGCAGAGTGGACAGTGAGAGAGAGACAGAGAAAGGTCTATCCTTTTGTCGTTGGTTCACCCTCCAATGGCCGCCAAGGCCGGCACACCAAGCTGATCCGAAGCCAGGAGCTTCTCCTGGTCTCCCATGGGGTGCAGAGCCCAAGGACTTGGGCCATCCTCCACTGTACTCCCTGGCCACAGCAGAGAGCTGGCCTGGAAGAGGGGCAACCAGGACAGAATCTGGTGCCCCGACTGGAACTAGAACCCGGTGTGCCGGCACTGCAAGTGGAGGATTGGCCTATTGAGCCGTGACGCCAGCCATAGCTAGTAGCATACTTTTAATTAATGTAGCCTTATAGTAAATTTGGGAATCCAAGTGTGTAGTTTCTCCAACTTTGTTCTCTTTCAGAATTGTTTTGACTATTCTGTCTCCTTTGCATTCCCATATAGGTCTTAGGATTAGCTTCTCAATTTTTACAAAATGCCTGGCTAGGATTTTGATGGAAATTGAGCTGAATCTACAGGAGATTTTGTTGAAAATTTCCATCTGTACAATTTTGAGTTTTCAACTCATGAACATAAAATGTTTCTTTTTTTTAAAGATACTTAAAAAATTTATCTTATTATCAGGCTTACCAGCTTTGCATTTATTTTATAAAATTCATTTCCAAATACTGTATGTTTTCTGATATGAATTGAATTTTGAAATTTCATTCTCAGATGGTTATTAATATATAGAAATACAGTCAGTTTTTATATATTGATTTTGTATATTATGACCTTGCTAAAGCTTTTGTTAGTTCTAGTTCTAATGTGCACTTAAAAAATGAAATCGTTAGCAAGATTAAAAAGAATCCTCACTAGTGGGTTCCATGTGTGTCACAGAATTTATTAATATTGCCAGTCCTACTTCTTCCTTGCCAATTTGGGTTCCTTTAATTTTTTCTTTTGTCTCCTCCTCTCTCTCCTCCCTTGCCCTGCTTTCCTCCCCTTTCTCGTGTCCTCTTCTGTCTTCTCCCTTCTCTCCTGTTTCCTCTGCATTCCCATTGCCGTTCCTGTTCCCCTTCCATTCCTATTCCCCTGACTAGAATTCTCAATGCACAGTTGTTTCTGGAATTAGGAACAAAGCATTCAGCCTTTCTCTATCTGCTGAAAGTTTTTCTTATTTCTCTTATTCATTTGAAGAAGTTCTTTTATATTACTAGTTGCTGAGAGTTTTTATTATGGAAAAATGGTCAACACATATGTGTTGAAATTTGTCAAATGCTTTTTCTGCCCTTCGAGGTAATTGTTTTCTTCTTCATTCTGTTAATAGTGTGTTATATTAGTTGATCTTTAGATGTGAAGCATTTGTATTAAGATTAAATCCTTCTTGGTCATTGTATATGATCTTCCTTATATGTTGCTAGAAAAGCTTTACTAATGGGTTGGTTAGTATTTCCACATCTGTAATCATGAGGGATTCAGTTTACAGTAGAATGATTTTATATTAGCCCAACATATTCACCCTTTCTGGCACTTTGCGTTTGTTCTTACTGACAGTCACCATGTGGTATCAGTTCTTTTCGGCCTGAAGAACTTCTCTTAGATGTTCTTGTAATCTAGATCTATTAGCAAAATAATAACTGTTTTGTTTCTTTATCGTACCTGTATCCTAATGGACAGGTTATAAAACGGTTGGCTGACAATTTGGGTGTTTTTTGACATTTCAAGTATGTTCTTCTGCTACCTTCTTGTGTCATTTTTTAATGAAAGGAGTCATTAATCATTTTTGTTCTTTTGTACATGATCCTTGTTTTCCCCTTTTTGCTATTTCTGTCTTTGTTTTTGAGCAGTTTGACTATGATGTATATGTTTAGCCTACTTGTTGACTATATTTTTTGGATCTCTGTGTTTTATGTTTTTCTTTCAATGTGGCCATCATTTCTTTACATTTTTCTTTTTCTTCCTTTCTTTCACACCACCTCCTACCCCGCCACGATACCATTATATGTATATTCTTGCACCTGCTAGTGTCTCACAGATCTCCTAGGCTTGTTTTTCATCTTTTTTGCTTAATGTTCCTCACATTTAATAATTTAAATTGACTTGTCTTCTGCCATCTGATGGCATTTTTCTGCCATCTGAGCTCTGTTATTTATCTCCTCCGGTGAATTTTTCATTGTAGATATAAATTTTTTAAAATCCTTTTTTTTCAGGTCCAACATCTGGGCCCTTTCCAAGATAGTTTCATTTTGTCCTTTTTCCTCCTGAGTTTGGATCACAGTTTCCTGTTCTTTTTGTGTCACTTAGTTTTTGGTTGAAAATTATATGTGATAGCTAATATTTTATAGGAATCATAGATTCTGATTTATTTTTTCCCAGACAGATGATTGTTGTTCTCTTTTTGGCTTCCATTTCTTTAATAATTTGGTGGTAATCAATCTGTTGAGTTTTTTTTCTATTATAAGTTTTCTCTAGCACCGTTTCATGGAGGTTGTACTTAGAGACCTATGTTCGGAAAGCTTCCATTCTGTGCTGAAGGAACTGTGTGTACCCGGTGGAATGCACCCCAAGTAGCTTGTTTCCATGC